TCAAAGATGGCAGCTGTAATCTTCACTAAGATAATACGAGCACTGAGCACTCGCCCGCTAAAATCACGCCTGTCTTGCAGGGTACATTGATTATCTCGTTTGTGCTTGTTGTACACTTCACTAACACGTCCTTTACCAACGAAAAAAGGGTTCCTGGTCTACAGAAAACAACAAAGCATTACAAGTTTTTTTATGACCTTTCATTTATGGAAACGAAGAAAAAAAAAAGGAAAAATCTGTTAAGTAATATCGTTGGATTCTTTATCGCAACATTAGAAGACAAACAGTTGAAAAACAGATTTACATCTCAAGCCCATGGCAGTCGTACTTTTCTGACCAAATTATTTCCAACGTTTCTCCGTAGTTTTCAGCGAATTTGCATGATCCTGGCATGGGTTGTTTCTTATGTTTTTTCTACAAAAACTTGGCATATTAAAAATTGTCTAGTTAACCACGATGAATTTGAAATCGACTTTTGTTTGCCCGACTCCTGCTAATCAGAGCAGAAAAGGGCGTGCGCTTACTTTTCGCGCAGCACCTGTTGTGACATGTTCAGCACCAACACGAACGAACGGATGTAAGGGGGAGTTTTGGCGCGATATCTTGGTTTCTTTTGACTGTAAATTGCAACAAACTGTACCACGCGTCATTTTGCTTGGATGTTTTTCTCCCGTCCAACTTACTTGAAAACTAATTTGTTGCTTCGTGGCTTTGCTATTCGCGGTGAAGCAGAACGTGGGTTGATGAGGGACCACCAATTCTGCTCTTCAACAATAACAATACTAAATGTGTAGTTTTGCAGGGGAGCGAGGTAGGCATGTATATCATAATTGTCCAATATTGTTTCATGTTAAATACTAAAAGAAAATTACACAGCATCTAAAATAATGCACTTCGATTTTGTATCCTATACTGATGATTTATGGCGTGCAGTTCGATATAACTGCTTATTTGTCATGAGAAAATTAACTTGCGCTGAATTTAATGTGAGAACTTGTGGTTCAGGGAAAGCGCGCGTGGAAAATATAGCTGGCATACTGAAGGAAAATCTGAGATAATTCAGTAAGCTACCAGAAAGTATATATGGTCTCTGCTGTTTCTATTAATAAATGAAATACTCCAGTGTTTAATTTGTTTCTGTTGAAGAAGTCCCTTCCCTAACTTGAATCGTCTAGGATAAGTGTACACAACAACAAACAAAATTTTCTCGTGTAAAAACCAAGAGACCACTATAAGGGCAATACAACTGTTAGATGCGGTTAGATAATTTCAGTTGAGAGCCGTTATTTCTATAAGGTTTCAATTATGGATTAAGGAGAGGAAACAGTGGTAACCGGAGAGACAGCTAAAAATGCCAAACTTAATGAAATGTTGGACAAACTTTCAAAAAAGGTCCTGATTTAAATGTTGCTGAAAAAATCCTTAAAACTCTGCGCCTGGTGGGAGCTTGGCGATAGCTTGCCCCAATCCCTCACGGTAATGTAGCTTAAAAACAAGGCGGGCTATGGTGTGTTATCTTTGCAGGTTCGCAATGAAAAGGAGGAACAAATATGCGAAACAACTGTTATAATAAACACGTTATATAATTTTGAATGATTGAGACCGAGTGAGAACTCCAGGAAGCGTGTATTGAAGTGGTTCTCTTTTCGTTGGATGATCGATTGGTGAGTTTCGCTGCCATTGAAGTGAATGTTTGTGGCGCACAACAGCCGGCGCCGGTATGATTGTGTACAAAATTTAAAGAAATTAGTTGGTTCAAACTCTGCCGAAAGTGCCACAAAGCGTACAGTGACAAAATTTGAGTGATAGGATTGAGCAAAAGTGTTCCCTTTCGGTCTTAAAATATAATTTTATATAGATGTCTTTCATACTACAACTGAGCATAGTTCATCTGACATTTGAACTTCCAGTGAGGTGGTCGGGAGAAGCGTGCCATGCCATGCCATGCCATGCCATGCCATGCCATGCCCCCCCCCTCCCACCTTCAGAAATGGCCTCAAGATTGCTCAGTTTAATAACCCACTGTGAGTTAATTATCCGTAAGGTGAAATGATAATGAGTCTTATGACACCATTTGTTAAAATTCATGTTTGATATAAAAGTTTGAAGACTGGACAATTGCATCTGTTTTCAAAAATTCTTTTTTATTGTTTTATTTTGTACACTTCCATCCCTTGTGCAGACACAAGATAAATTGCATGTTTGATTCAAATTCATTAAGTTAGAAAATGTACCACTTATGCAATGCAGACTTAGTAAATAAGCCTCCTTTGTGCATGGAATGTGCTGCAAGCCCTTGTGCAGAATTTATGTGTTGCAGAACAGCTATGGTTGTATATGATTTCTGTCTAGGGAGGGAAAACTAGAATTGTTTGTCCTTAAGTTTCTTTTTCAGCCCTCTGCTATGGGTGTGGCTGATTTGCTGGTAGATGTTGTGTGTGTGTGTGTATCTGTTTCCCTGTCTTCAAGTGCTAGGTCTGGGCATTAAGGCCAGCACATTCTGCATCAGTGTCAGTTTGTCTGATGTTTAGATATACAACAATAATGAACTCATTCTATATCAAAGACATGTCACTCAGTGTTCAATAAACACACAATTGCTGATTGGAAATGACACTTCCAAAAATATTTGAAGTACTGCTAAATGTTTTTTTGATGATGCAGCACTGCAATTGCTAGTCATCATTGACTTTGTTTAAGATGACATGCCATTTAATGGTAACAACCTTGGGTGCTATGCTTTGCTGACACTTAGTTACAATTCCTAGCTTTTATGTCGTGAGGGATGTTATGTACATTATTTCTGTAAATTTTGGAAATGTGGCCATCAATATCTTCAAATTAGGATCGCCACACTACAGTGGTGTCTGCTTCAATTAAGTTCCCTGTGTTGCTGTAATCTCACACACTATTTTCTTGCATTCTTAGTTCTTGAGAAGAAGTGAGCATAGAGCTTGTTTTTGATGCCGCTTTAATTGGACTCTCTACTCCTTGGTGAGCAGTCATTATTCATTTCTGTAGACTCAGGGTGCGGCTTGTTAAAAGGGTGCTGCCCATATTAATTTTCTTTCTCTCACAAGTTTGCCTTTGGAGGAATCGAGAGAGAAGGGTATGAACAAACATTCACGTGTTTGTACTTAATTCTTGATTTGATGACAAGATTTGCTGTACACATTTTATAAGTGCCTCCAAAACTTTCTATTTTGCCCATTGTTTCTTACTTTAAGTGAGAAAATTAGTAACCTTTTGATCTTCCAATGCTTCTGGAAATGATTCAGTAAGACACAATCTAATTGGTAAGAGTATTTTAGTTAATTTCCAAGCTTATATAGCTTGGTTTTAGTCCATGATACATCAAATTATCAAAGATTCATAACATATAGAATATAGCAAGTCAATGCAATGTCATTTAACCATGTTTATGGTTCTTGGTCTTTTAACAGCATAAAAAAGGGAAATCGAAAGTGTACTGTCACAGGGGGACCCCTCCCTTATCTGGCCTTCATTAGCCCCAGAGGTGAAAATCCTCTCACATGGCACAAAAAGGGAGAGCTTGAGAAAAATTTATTTAAATCCAAATGGGGGATTTTACTCAAGATCTCGTGTTTCCGATGTGAAATTAATAAAGTAAAGCGATCACGCAAGGTCTGTCACACAAAGTCAGTCACACCATTTGTGGCGTGACGCCATTTCCTTCATCCTCTACAGATCGCACCCTTTGTAACCAGGCGTCGTAATACTCCTCATATTCTCGGATAAGTTCTTTGATCTTTGCAGATTTGTATTTGATGGTTTGTACTGTTTGATGACTGAGGAACATTTCGTGGCAGTCACAGCTGTCTGGTGCCGGAGTCAATGAGGTAAATGCACTTTCGTCCTCTGTAGCCTTACTCTTTTGACCTGCAACACGAACACATCAGTGTTAAAAGAAAAAAACCTTTTGCTTTATTGTCTGATCGACATATCGATTCTTCTTTAAATTAAGATGCATTGATGAGCAGGCAGTTATTGAGAATTCAAGAAACAATTGAAGAAAATCACTTTTATATCTTGGGAGTGACATGGTTACAACATTGAAAAACAAGGACTTGCGAGGGGAGATAAAAGTTCAAAGGTGTGAGTGACTCGGTCTTTTCCAAAGACTTGATATTGTCATTAGCGTAAATGGAACTAACAATGTTCAAACCCAAATCCGAAATGGATTCTGTCTTAGGAAAGGTTTGCCGCGCGGGGAAAGTCGGAAGGTTATTAGGGTTCTCAGAAAATCGCTCTCGAAATGACCGTCATACAGACATCTTACTGAACTCTACTTATTAGCATGTTCAAAGAAAACAAAATTATCATCAAAGGAAATTAAAAAAATTCTTACGTCGTTTTGGTCGATGATAAAGTAGTTCCCAGGCTATGCCAACGAGCAGAAGAAATCCCAGCACCCCTATCAGAATGAACAGCACGTTTTGAAAGGCTTTTTCTTTAAAAAAGAAAAGTCCTTCGGATGCTTTTACCTCTTGGCTTACTTCATCAGTGGGATTCTGTTAATAAAAAAGGAATAAAACAAAAACAAATCAAAATAAAAGAAATAGATCGAGTGTCGTTCCACTGATGGTCCTATCTCATTTCCGAGATGCTCAAAGAAAGAGAATTTTTTTTATTGTGCAAACTGAAATTTCAGGTTCTCATGAAATTTTTTTTACCTGGCCTCATTTTGAAAGAGGTGTGTTTGGAAAGCGAATGATTTTGACTTTTATGCTGTAAGACAACACCAACGGTGACGTAGCTTAGTGGTGGTGTGTTTGCTCAGTCTCATCCTTTTACCTTAAGTGGCTCGAGGTTCTTAGCGATGATTTCAAACGCCTCTTGGGGGTGATTACGCAGATAGCGCCGAAAACATTCCAGCCAAGGTGATGATGCGTTTGATCGAATCACCAGACCATAAGTGATTGCGTGTTCAAAGGCAGTCTCTATCCGAACCTCGTCGTTATCCTTCACAAAATTACTGTAGTAAGTAAGTACGTAGTTGTCTATCAGAGAACCCTTTAATCTCTCTTTCAACAGGTCAGAATTCATCTTTGGTATGGCGTGATAAGCTGAGGAAAAAATGAGAGATAGATTAATAGAGTAAGCGATCGTTGAACTAATTAATAAGTAGGTCAATCAAACAAACAGTCCAGCGGTTTAAAACAAGTTTTCGCATCACTGCAAGTTCGCCGTTGGGAAGGGGCGAACTGGGAAGGGGCGAACTGGGAAGGGGCGAACTGGGAAGGGGCGAACTTGGAAAGGGACAACACCACAATGAACGAATCCGGCGGTCACTTGAATAATCAATAGATAAATCAATGCATTAAGTCATCAGCAGGGAAGCAGTAATTCATGTCAATCATTCAGTCAGTCAGTCCGCCAGTTTGTCCGCCAGTTTGTCCGCCAGTTAGTCCGGCGCCAGTTAGTCCGCCAGTTAGTTCGTTAGTCTGTACATCAGTCAGTCCGTCTATCAGTCCGTCAGTCAGTCATTTGCCAATCCAAAAGCTACTCAATCAAGCGGCACATGAGTTTGCCGAACGCTAGTATCATGTATTGAACTTATATTTTAACAATCATTAATGTTAAGCTGACTTAACAGCTTCACAGCAGTTAGTCCAATGTACTAACAAAAACCTACGTTTTCAGTAGTTGGTTTATTTTGGCAATGGCATAACGGCGATTAAATACACAGCCCGACTGTGCACTAAGTACGGTAGGTATCACTATTAGTAGGCATTATACTCACGGTATTCACCGGACTTTAGAATAAAACTGTGATAGCGCGAGATTTCAGGTTTCAAGTTATGGCACACTTACGTTTCATGTCAGCATTTAAGCTTACTCCAAGGCGATACTCCTCACTACCATTTACTGCCCCGATCTGCAAATACAAATTGAGGACGAGGTATTAGTTCAATGAAAACTAATTTGATAGGCATAGTGCATTTCGACTGATTGTCGTGAAAGCAAAACCAGTTTAATCACTTCAGCCAATCAGAGCGAAGGAAAGTGTCTAAAGGAGCTCAGGGGCAGTAAAAGTAAAAACAAGCAAGCTCCTCAAAGTGCGGGGATACACTCGTTACTAAGTCGTGATTACTTTAATTTTCAGTTGCATCTGATTGGTTGAGTGAGAGAGTGGCGCGAGTTTTCTAGACCAATCATTGAACGAAGTGAAGTACAACCATTGCTCTCCCGAATTAATTAAAATCTCAATTAAAAATTGTTGTAAACTGCGAGAGTGGCTAATGAAGACATTGATCGTATGTAATTCAGGTCTTACCACTGAGCCGTTAACAATGAAATGATGCTGTATACTGGCTGATAACGAGGCTGTTACAATGGCGGTGAAAATGGCAATGATGATTATTCCAACCAGAATCCAGACGATGCAAAAGATTCGTGCTAAAAACGACTTGGGTGCACGGTCGCCATATCTAAACAGTAAAGGTATGTTCTCACCATCACAGTGTCTGCTATTGACTAATTATCTTAAGATAATATTTTTAAAACATAACGGAAACAACAAATAACTAAAATGAAATATGATATCTAAGATTAGTAAGAGCAAAAAAAAACACGAAATAAATTAATGAGCATTAATGATGATCGTTGATTTTGACGAAAATAGCGAGTTATAGAAGATGTGGAAATAAACATAGATTAAGGATCTTCCTACTTTTTTACTCACCCAACCGTGGTCATGGTGACGAACGCCCACCAAAAGCCTTCCCAGGTGCCATTGATAAACGGACGCGGAAATTCATCTGGGTTTTTGAGACGGTCCTGTCGGGTAGAACTGTGTGATGTTTAGGGGCCAGTCATGGCTTATCGCAAGAGTGGGGTGGGGAGGAGCGGGGGACTTTGGGAGGATCATATGGTTTTTAGGGGGAAGAGAGGGGGATCAGTTGTCGAGTATAAAAGGGGGGAGGACTATAGAAAATTAACTGTTAATTGTCTGCTAACGAGAGAGAGGCATCGGATCATTAGAATATTGTAGCCTGAGGGAGAGTCAGATAAATTTCATCGTAACGAAACCAAAATCCTCCCACCCTTCCCCCCCCCCCTTTTCTTTCAGGCGATAAATAATTATCGTTCCTTTAGGAAATAGATGTTTGAAAGTTCTCCACCTTTCTTTTTGTCCTTAGAGCTTTCAGGAAATTGCGATTAGCTTATTTGATCACGAATTACATGCCATTGTCAACAGCTTGTAAAAATCAGTTTGTCTTAAGGGTAATGTTGGTTATAACGTTAACCTTGTACTGGAAACAAACTTGAAACTTGAACATTTCAGCTAATTACTCATATTTATAAGGATTTTTTGTTTTATTTCTGAAAAAAAAAAGATATTCAGTGCCAGCTTGAAGTTTTCGGTGATTTGCTTTCATAATTAGTTGGCTATTTAGTTCCCGTCAATCCTCAAATTTTTATCAGTCTCACGACACACTATAGTTTTAACCACGTTCAAAGGAGTGTAAATAATGATGAAAAAACTCCGGCACAGTAGGGTCAAAAAACGACAATAGTGAATTTAAAAATCACCCGCTAACTTTTTGAGGTCAGTTATAGACATGCTTAGTTCAAGAATGCCTAAGTTCAAAGTAATAATCAGATAGAGTTTTCAGTTATAACGCGAATCACGATTGTTTAGCCTGCACTTATGTCATTTGACATAGGATCAATAATATTTGATAAACGTGAGCGTTATCACGAACGAGATATGCGGGTTTTTGCCCGCAGTGACAGAAAGCTCGTTAACAAAAATTTAACATACGGTGGAGGCCAATGTTAATCACTTACTAAGACGATCAGTGTTCTAGTAAGTGATTGACATTGACCTTAATTGGCGAATTTTGAGATATCCCACCGACAGGATTTGTTAAAAGCAGAATGGGTCAGAGTTAAAAGGATAATTGAACTGCAGGTAACAAATACATTGTAGCGAGACTAATGGTCATGGAGTAACAGAATATTTAAATATTAAGATTTCATATGATAGTTCAATCAAAAGCAGGTGAAATTTTGTCTTTGATATGAAACTTCTTCAAACTCAGATATAATTTTACTGGGTTTTTTTCCCTCGTGGTTTTCATTATCAAAACGTTAATATAAATGAATACTCAGGATAAATGTTGTCTTACCAATTAATGAACTCTTTAACCCTTGAGGGTGACCAGAATCTAATTCCCTTACTAACGTATCATTGCTGAATCAAGCATTACGCTCACAAGAATTACTTAATTGATCACAAACTTGAAAAGCTCCTGATTTTTAGCTACATTATCCATGTCAGTGCCTCGGGATATTTATAAAGAACCGTATGGAGAATATACATGCTGATGTTAGTCACGGTATAAAGGGTTAAAACATGAAATGTTACAGTTCTATGACACGACGCCCGTGAAAGATAGTTAAACACTAAATATACGACTTTTAAGAACGAGCAAAAATATCTAGGTTTCAATGAAAAGATTCAAGTTGAGCATTTGTCAGAAATAAGTTATGCGATGTGTTCCTTGATAAAGAAAACAGCTACATGATACATTGTGCAGTGTAGTTCAAGGCAGAACTAGCTTAAATCATTTTGGTACCAAACCGTCTGTACCAATCTTATTATTTGGCTCAGCATCCCTATCTAAGATTTAATGCCGTGGTAGATATCTGTGACAAAACATTTTCGATATTAATTGCAATAACGTGCAGCAAAAAAAAAAAAAAATTTTGTCGATAATTTAAGAAAATCTCAGACCGAACTTATACGGGTTTTTGCCCGCAGTGACAGAAAGCTCGTTAACAAAAATTTAAAATATGACAAACAATGGCGAAATTTGATGACGAAGGAAGCAACGATAGAGGTGGTGAGGTTTTCAGAACAACGGAGCCAAAAAAAAAAGGAAACAAACCTTACCAAAAGCCAAATGATGATACCCGACAGCGTAGCAGCGACGAGTATGAAAATCAGGATGGGCCAGGCTTTGAACACCGTGTTCATTAACTGGGTGGTTTTGTTGTCTTCTGCTGTTTCATGAACAAGTAGCGCCACTCTGGGCGCCTGAACAAAGGGTATGTATGGCATGTCTTTGAACGCGACATCATCTAGACTCATCCCCGTGACGGGAAAACTAAAATCATACGCTTTGTCCGGTTGGTCCAGCTGTTCTTCCAGGCCACGAATGGAATCTAAAATCTTTCCAAACTTCACAGTCGCGGAGCTGTTGCAACAAACGTGGAGCATCTTGTTGATCATATGGGGAAAGATGCCCTCAACGGCTATTTGGCTGCCACGTTTAGAGGGCTTTGCGTACGGTCCGTAATACTGCCACGATGCAGACAATGGAAGACCGCGGGAACATTTCTCGTCGAAACTGAAGCGGGAAAGTTCAGCCTCCGTCAACGCGTTTCCAGTAAATGTAACGTTGTCGAGTTCAATAACTTCAGTGCCATTCTTTGCGTAAATGGCATTTGAAGAAAGGTAGAAACCTTCAGGTATCTTTCTGTTTGATTTTGTTGGGTGTGTATCTGCTACTTTGTCATTTGATTGAACCACTCCGCTCAAAACAAGCAGCAGACCAATGGTGGCTTGAACTGCGTCCATTGTAGTCGTCTTAGTCTGCCCTTTGGGCTACAACAGCCTGTTAAAATGAGGAACAATATTTTTTCAATGTATTAAACCATTTTGTTGTACTTGGTCTTTTACGTCGAGGAATACTCCCCTAGAAGATGGAATTCTTTCTGACGCACTTTGACGCCAATGCTTAATTGTTGTTCAGTTTGTTGTCAGTGTCTGAATGAAAGCCTTCGTCGAATGAATTTTACATAAATACCTTGTATTTAAATCGAGTAATCTTACGCTTAGCTTTATTCCTTACTGAATCAAATCTCTTCCCTTGGATGCTTGGGAAATCATGATAACTTTTTCAAAAGCTTTTTACTTGTAAACAGCGCTCATCGAAAGAGGTAGAAGGCTATTTAGCTTAGTCCTACCAAAATTGCTCTCCAGAGCAAATTCAAATGCGTAAAATCAACTATGGATTTAAGAACCATGAGAAGATAATGATGATATGTTCTGCACTCGACTTGAAGTTGTGCATGAATGGAAATGATGTTATTATGGGAGGCGAACACTGAAAGTAGATGTCAAGCCGAGCGGCTGCTTGCCATCATCTAAGAAGCTTTAGAATTGATTTTTGATCATAAACAGCCATTTTCAAATAAGATATTTCAGTCGCATTCTAATATTTACCTAGGGGGTTACCGTACTTTAGACCTCTTACTTTCACCCGCCTTCACTAGTGACTTTCGTGTTAAATTCTCTCTGGTAAATATTATGTTGAAGTTAATCGCCTGTCTCGTCTTAGTAATCTTACTCTGTTTAAATTAAAAATCATGCGGGTTCTGTGTTTAGAACAGAAGTTTAAAAAAAATTACAGAAAAAATTTTGTGTTGCTGTGGTAACATCAAATTTTAATTTGCCTTAACGTTATCATATGAAAAAAGAACTGTTTCAATTCTTTAGATCATGGCGAAAAAAATGAATGCGGTATCTTACCATTTTAGAATCGCAGTTTTCTAATTATAATAGTTCACATTTAATGGCTTTTCCGAAAAGAAGATGGATCTTCGTATCAATCAGTGCAGACAGTCATAACTTACCGAAATCGAAATCAGTTTGGTTTTGGGTAATTCTGCTTCGCTTTTGAAAACTCTGTTAATAAAGACTGCCGTTTTAAAAGGCTTTCCTAATTTTGCGGTGTATGGAAGGGCGCTTATTTTGGTTGTTAAGAGTATGTTTTGACGTTTGAAAACAAAGAGTTGTTGCGATTTGTCGGATTCCTACCATGAAAACATAACAGTTTTACGGCTAACCGCTACATCTTCAAATATGTGCCGCCCGAAATGCGTCACTACTCGCGGCTGGCAGTCATTATGATTATCAGAGTATTGTTTTTAATCACTAGCGATTTTTAGTTTCTCATGAATTCAGATCGCTGGAGCCGTTTTTATACGTTTTTTGTGGACGTTTATCACCCCTGCTAATTTGACGTACTTATTAAATCTCGGTCTGCTGGCTTAAGAATGGAAAGCAGGTGGCAGACAGTCTAAATATTTTTTTTTTTATCTTTTAGGATTCGCTTGATTCCGAAATTGGCGAATTAAATTGAATTGCCTGATGTTTTTAGAGATAACTTTTTCAGGTCGAACGGGATTCAAAATGTGATTTCGAACTAAGGATATGCTACTATAGAAACGGGGAAATCACAAACCCTCATTTATTATTATTTTTTTGAATGCGCTAAGTCCACTGTGAGATTTAAAATTAGACCAGAGATTTCTTTTACATGCAACATGATAACTGCATGATGGACTCATAAACCATTAATATCTAAATCTTTGATAATGACCTTCAGTGGAAAAAGTTCTTTTATCAAACCTGCAGATACTACGATTGAAACGTCTTTGTATAATTTTAATTAATTATTTATAAAAGGCTGTCTCCATCAAAGTTTTCGATATTTTTTGTTTTACTCAGTTTTTTGATACGATTTACAAGCGAAATTCGGAAGAGGTACAGCTTGGTCTATATCACTTAAAGATATTTATGTCAATCTATGATTTTTTTTTTTTTTTTCAAAATAAGAAAATGGAACCAGAACTACGAATGATTGCATTTTGGAAAAAAGGAATCATCATGTTTTATTTTAGTTTCAGTTTTGTTCTCGAAAACCGCCACACTTTTATCCTTCCTTAACAGAGAATGTTATCCCATTTTGTGAAAGACGTATAGCGTTTGTGTAAATGAATGCATCAATACAGTGGAAGGCGTCGACAACAGTAATACTTTGTTTCCTCTTCAATTCAACAGGGTATTCATCAAAGTTGTAATTTCGAAAACGGCACTCACCTCTCAAATACTTCCTTAGAGTTTTAGCGGACTTCTATGTCAGTATAAGCCTAGTTTGAAAACATTTTAGAACTGACGATGCACCTGTGGTCTGGCTACAGCGAAACAAAAACGCGAACAGCGAGGCGTTTGTAGTTTCGGTTACGCGGTTTGTCAAACAATGAAGCACCTCAGTCAGAGTTTTGTGATAATCCTTTTTAATTCGTGTAAATTACCAAAAAATCGTCCGTCTCTTGATGTTATGTCAGGGTGTCACCCATTACTTATTTAAGGGAAGATAGGTAACAATTATTCACCCAAGTGCCTCCGAGGAGAACAGTAGTGAATATATGTTTCTAAACCTCAATTTACCAGTTGACTACCATCCATAGGTTCTCCTTACAAAATGGCGATGTACAATATTAATCATTTAAACACGTTGGAAATGGAAGACGACGGCAAATTGTTCTATTTGTCGCAATTTTCGTATTTTTGGCTATATTTACGTAGATCGTCCTATTCATGATGGTTTTTTTTAACTATGCTCTATCTTCAGAGCTTCCTTAATTCTCCGAGAATATACATCTAATCTATACCACGGAAAGGAAAATGAGTGACGTCGAGATTGTCATCAAAGTTGTTAAATTTAAATTGCTGACCTCTGCTCATCTTACTGAGATTGTTTTTTCCTAATATTTTGTTTGCTTCTGGACACTACACATGTTTCATTTTTGTAGCATGAATCTTTTTCAGAATCACATGGTTCATTCATAGTTATTTCTACTAGTTTTAAGGCCTGGAAAAGTGTAACTATTGAGTTTTGTGCAACGTTCAATTCTAAGTTTCTTCGAAATTCTACGAAATTCTTCTTTTAATGGACCTTTATTGCAGATTATGTTCAACAAAGTTTGTAAGGAATTGTTATTGAGCTCTTTCCAGGGTGGAAAAGTAGTCTAGCTCGTCTTTGAATCTCAAAGTTTCTAGCTAAACACTTGAGTCAGATGCTCTGCTATCGGGTTGTGGTTACCCTTGGCAACTGAGCTCAGCCTTATCTATGGTGGCGGTGTCTTTTACTGATTTTCTATATTTGTGTGTGGGGGCGGTGCTTGCACACTGATGGTGCACTATTTTTGGCTAATTACAATTGCTGTTCAAACAAGCTTGACGTTTCTTGCAAAGCCCACAGGGATACATAGTTGATAAATCATGTTTGCTCCACGGTCGAAAGGTGAAGAAAACTCCTAAAAAGGCTGGAGAAGTTTTTCGAAATAGATAATTGCCTCTAGCAACAAAGCCATATCAAAGTGTTTCAGTGAGACATGCTGTCCTTCATTGATTATTCATAGCTATGACACCTAGAGAAATACCTTGAAATTGTATCTTTGTTCTTCTTCAGCCGGCTTTAGATTAACGGTGTAAACTCACCCTCGCTTTTCCCTGTTGGAAGAACGATCTTTTATCGGCTATTTTCTAGAAATAGCATCTGTGTGTCTTTTGTCGCTTTCAATTCATCACGAAGGAAGTAACTACGGTCAACACGACGATCACGTTTGGCAGTCACGGTAATTACACCCTCTATCGGTTCACGCGCATTATCATTTGAATAACAGAGAACGCATCGTTTCCAGTTCAAAAGATTGAGAAACTGCTCACTGAGTTTTTTTTTATCATATCCGACCTTGAGCAGTGAATCCTATTCATTAAATTTTACTCAATATTTTCTTGGGCTTCTTGATTGGATTAATACCATTTCAGTATACAAGCTTTTAAGAAAACTTTGAAGCGAACCGATTATGAAACCATCTGCTATGATTTGAATTGAACGAAATGTAAAGATGGCAAATTCATTGCAGTTGTAAAATTTATTATTGTCGAATGCCTATTATAAGAAGGTATCACTTCACTTAATAGCGAGGAAACGGAGAAAATTAAAAAGAAGGAAAACAAAACGAAAGACCAGCGACCCTAGTTTTTCTATGACAAATAATGCAAAGGCAAATTCATGAAACAATTCCTATAAAGAGTATTCCAATTTAAAAAGCAGTCGAACAGATTCCTACTGAGCACCCGACCGTCTTTAATTTTGAACGCCAAATATTTTACACTCAAGCATGACAAATTTCCTGAAGCTTTTGCTTCCAATTGTTTATTTTATTAAAAGGTGAAAATCCGATTTATGTTGGATAACTATTGGTCCTGCGAATCGGGGTGAGTGCTAAAGCGACACTGTTCGATCGTACTTGGCTTGTCGATATTCTAATTGAGACCAAACATAACGCGGAGAGACAGAAAAAAGCGCAATAAATCTGAATGAACAGTCGACATTTTTATGAATTTTTCCTTGATGTTTATTTAAGTAAAGTTGTTATTTGAAGTAGGAAGGACGGTTTAGAGACCATTTTTTTCGTGGCGGATGTAATTCTTAGGACTAAACCAAAATGAAATTATGCTGTTATTATATACTTTTTTCGGTGGAAATAAGATAAATAATGTTATGGATAGCCGTGATAAAATAAACCTGGATTCTACGCAATTTATACCTTTATCTTATAATCAAATACCGTGTTTAAAGTGAGAGGTGTCATAGACCTTCGAGTGCTGCAAAACGGAATTAATCTTGCCGTTATTTCGCTGGCTTGTAATATAGAAGAGGTTTCAAACCTTGGTAGAAGACTGTCTCATAAAGCGATGAACGTAACGTAACGCTTTTAATGAGGTTATTTTTGTTAAGTGGAAACGGTGAAAGTCGTACGGTATAATTGTGAATGATATATATATTGAAATTTTTGAAGAGTTTCTTAGCTACCAGCGCCGCCTTAACATATCTGCTCCTGCTTTTCAATTTTTGTTGTGATCAAAAAATGTTTAGTATAACAATTGCAAGTATCTTACTGTATGATCCGGGCTCCGTTCACCTTGAAACCAGCCATCCGATTTGTTGATAGATACTACACTTGATATTGGCCCTTCTCACTGAGCGAAACTGGAGGCTTTAAAATAAAATTCAGACTTCAGGTCAGGATTGTGCCCGTAATCAAACTTGTTTACGACTAGGACGCTTATTCTTGAATTAGAAAGAAACTGTCTTGCCTATCGGGGAGGGAATGAATATTCTGTAGTAGGTTTAGTGTTTCGCTCCCTTGTTTGCTGCTGGGTGATAAGATTTCTGCGAGCACCTAAAAGTGCGAATTGCTTGTGAATTAGTAATGATCGCAGATTACCACAGAAGCAGCTAATAGCTAATTGGATGAGCCTTTGTCCAAAACAGAATTTAGTCATCGAAGTACGTTTGTCATAAGCTAGGCGAAACAATTACCTCTTGGTTCAAAGTGCTTTTTATTGAAAAGGAATATTCCGGCTTTTGTGCCTGCGCATTTGACGGCGGCCCCGCGCTGTGAAGAACGCATATCGTTAGAAAATCTCCTATAGCTTTTCCTATTTTATTCCTTTTGAATGCAGGGTCAAGTTCGGCGGAAGAGATCTTAGCATTTCCTTGTGAAGCAAGGTGTCACCGGCGAAGAATTGTAAAACAACAAGTTTACGGGAAACATCTGTCTCCTTGTAAACAAACATAGGCAAAGTCTAATAAGCACGTACATTAACGCACCCGTAAATACCAATCCCCAAGTGATTTTTAATTTCTTCCTCACTGTGCGGTGTACAATCGCAAAGAAAAAGTGAATTCGTTTCATTGGTGAAAAAAATCCGCTATTTTAGTAGTTACAAAACTGAAGTGTGTGAGGCGTGTAAAGCTGTACAGGTAATCGGTTTTAGCGGACAGTATCCTTTGTTTTGTTTTGTTTTTTTTTTTTCCTTTTCTTTAAGAGGTTAATGAAGAGAGTACCAACTGAAAACTTGAATTTACAATGCTGATTACCGAGGTTATTCTGTTTCAATAAACCTCTTGTCATCTGTTCCATACTCAATGAAAGTCCAGACTTAATAGATTTATTCCTTCTTAATCCTGGTAAAAATTAGTCCATGCCTCCAGCTCGCTTTTTTTCTTTACTCCCTTCCTGAAATGCTTATTGATCGGAAAGAAAACTTAGAGATGTATTTGGCCTGGAGGTAAACGATCATAAGTCAATCAGTGAACTGTTTACTGGAAGAGAAAGATAGAAACATGATCTATGAATGTCCTTGCGATTATCTTATTTCCAGCCAAGTACCGCATTGAAAACTGTGTTAGGTCCAATGTTTTCTCTAATCATTGTCAAAGTATCCACACAAACTAAACCATTTACTTGTACCCACACTGTTATCATTCTTATTAATTTCGATTTTGTTTTTGACCCTCACTTTTTAGGAATATAATTAACTCGTCATATCGTAGTTTCTCTTTCTTATTCGAAATGGCCCGAGTATTAGACATGTACAGTGTTTCGTGCCATGATCACAATGTTTTTTCTAGATAATATATCGAAGCTGAATATTTTGAATTTAGTCGTATTTTTATTAAATATGATCTTAATGTTTGGTAACTTAATTAAGTCGAGATTAATATATATACACCTTCCTTACGAAGGACTTATGTTTTGTCTGTGGAATCAATAGTGAAATTATCCCAACTTGGTTTGAACATAAGCTCCAGATCATTCGCTTGAGCTACAATGTATTGTAAAGTCGGTTTGAAAGAATTTGAATATATTTTTCAGTGTCTTTATTCGGGTGATTTTTCCAAATACTAGATTGAATTTTTCAAGGGCGTTGAATTAAGTCTCCCACCCTTGGTTGGCAAGCGCCGACGTAAAACCTCAGTTTTATTGGTCCCTGGTGTTGAAAACCTCATTGGCGATTGAGGTTTGTTTCCGAGCTTTATTGAATTTACGAGAACCAATCAAATGCGTGGATGAAGTTTCAAAACAATCTTAATACAAATAATTTAGACTTCTAATATTACAGGTGTGCTTCAAATCATCATGATTTCAACCAGATATTACCTTAAATCTGTCCCAGGGTGTAATATGTACTTGGTGCTACTACTAGCTGATTTCTAGCGTTCATAAATTCTTTTGGATTCGGTTTTTCTGATTTGTACTTGATTATCATTTGCTCATTATTTTTTGGTCAGTTGATATTGAATTTTAAATCATCATAGCAAAATGCGTGTTAGTTGGCGGAGATAGATTAGATCGGAGAGAGAAGCTCTTGGGTCCAAACTGAAATCTAGAAGGCGTGGGAAAGGAGTTACCTCTTGTTCTTAAGTGCAGGTGAGAGTAACTGGGACTGGAGGAGAGCCGTTTTTACCAAAGGGAATGATAAGGAATTAGTAGAGGAGATTGATTTTCAACGGAATTTTAGGGTGCAGTGGAAAGAAATTTAAAAATTTAGGGAAGGAGGAGTACTTATTTTCAAGTGCAATGGAAAAAATTGTTAAGGAGAAAACTCTTGTTTTCAGGTGCCATAGAGAAATCTGAGAAGGAGAAAAATTTTGTTTTCAATTGCAATGGAAAGGAAAAAGGGAAGGAGAAAACACTTGTTTTCAGTTATAGTGAATAGGAATTAGAAAAAGAATCGTTTCTCTCCATTTGAACTTGAGTTACATGTAAAGTAAGTAGAAACTTACATGTTTTTAGTGTGCTGAAGAGGAAACAGGGAGATTGGATATTAGGTAAAGGGAAACCGCTTGCCTCAAGTGTATTGGGGATGGATTATTTTTAAGGAGAAAAAACCAGTTGTGCCCAAGTGCAAGAAAAAGAGTTTAGAAAGGAAGAAACCACTTGTTGATGTGGAGAAATCTCATCATATGATGATTGAATTGTGTTTTTCACTACTTCTATTGAGTATGCTTACTTGAAAAGTTCCTTTTAGCCACATCTAGTAGTTTATTTTACTTTATGATATAACTGCCAATTTCTTATTCAGAGAATTATTGTTAGTAGAAGCTTTGGAAAAAATTAGACATTTTTACTGAATTATGTCATTCGAGTCAAAGTTGTTTTTTTTTTTATGATGAACAAAGGGCCTTTTAATCTTTTGTTGTAACGTTGCACGTTAGTTGCAGGAAACAAAACCTTGAAAAGATGGCTCCGTTGCGAAGAAAATCGTTGCTGCTTTGCGAATAACTCCAACGGTTTATGATAACATAACCTTAGCACCCATGTCATCCGAAGGGTGCTGGACTTGTAATGCGGTGTCCTGGGTTCAAGTCCTCCACCCTGCCACTCACTGGATTTGTTCTCAGTTGCCCCTGGTTCAACTCCTCGGCTGCGCTCTGTAAATAGCTCACTGGTCTGCCTCCTGCCAGTGGGGATTTTTAAGCTCTTAGTTAGTCTACATTGTGGCTGAAAAGCCCCTAAGGGGGAGCTTCAATTAACGTATTTTGTTTGTTTTTTTTTTTTTTAACGTCTGGAGTTCGATTCCTCTTGGGGAGTAGCTAATTTTGTCTTTGTCCCAAGATCGTGACAAGACAACACAACTTGTCCTCATTCAACTACGAAGCTTGACATTTGCCATATTTCATTTCTCTTTAAAAAGAATTTTCATAATGAGAACTATCATAAGTCTGAATAAAAGCTTCCCTCGTTCTCAAACCTTAGGTTATTGGCAGATCTCGCATAAAGTAGAGGATATTGTTTTGCTTTAGCATATGTCGTGAGCTTTGCGTGATGTGATCCCTGGAGGCTGTTAAAAGACTTCCATGTGTTGTATCACGTTTGGCAACCTATAGGATGTAAATTTGGTGGTCACGATAAGCGTCGTACTGATTTCTTGTGTGGTATGCTTCCTGTAAACTGGACATAAATAAGTCTGTTTTCTTGGTGTGGATGACGTTGATCTAGGCTCTCTGTCACCCAACAATCTCTTGGTGGTCAAGTTAAGCCTCTTATTTCACATGTGGTACGCTGCTTGTAAACTGTACACTATACACTTTGCTGTATAAACTTAGTGTAGACGATATTAATCCAAGCTATCTGGGCCCCAATACCACTTAAGAAATTAGTGCTTCCTAAATTTGATTTGCGTTGAGAAAACGCTCTATTTCAGAACCTTCAATTTACTCGTCTGTTTTCATGATGACGATTACATTTTGAGTTTGACACAGATTTTCGTTCGCATTTGAAAAGTGTTAGAGCTTACACCCAGATCTGAATCCATGAACTTATGGATAATGTGATAAACTGATAGCTGTTGACAGCCTAATCAGGCGGTGGAAACATTTCTATGAATACGAGATCACTTAAGTAAAGATATTTAAGTCTTATAATTTGATGTTTTCTCTAATTGTAGCCATCAAGAGTTTTCCGACAGTTTACCTTAAGAATTCGTTGATTTTCTCTTAAAACAGTTACTTCTTTGTATAGAAGATATGCTTTTCAGATTTTCAATGTCGAATTTCTTGTGTCGGTGCACAGTATTAGAGTTATGGCTGAGACTGGCTTAAAAACAAATCCCGTAAATGTTTGTTGCTTTTGCATTGTTTTTGGGAATTAATTGATCGTGCAGTCAGTCAAATGTATCTCTGTAAGGTTTTGAATTTGTCTTACTATCACATTTAAGATTTAATTAAAAGAGCAATTTTCACTGTCCAATAATGTTTTTAGGGTTTGTGATATTTATCTCATCCTTCATTAGTCATGAATATCAGAACACGAAAGCGTGAATAAAGACTTAGAATGCGAAAATAAAATTATGAAATGACGAATAAGGACAATACAATGTTTGAGCCTGCAAATCAACACCAAACTGGAGGATTGGGATCTTTCACGGGCGTACATGGAACTATTTCGCAACACTGCGGCAAGCGTATGAATATTCCAATTTCAAACGAATGTCTCCCACTGTTCTATGAATATAGAAGTTTCATATTTCCTTTGGCTTCTCGCTTCATGGATTCGTAAACAAATGGGCAAATACACTTTGAGACGTGTTCAAATTGATGCGTGCGTGCAATACGTTAAAACTATCTGACAGAATATTACCTTTTCCGATGTTCGACGCGAGTGATATTTTGGATTTTGGGGTTTTGTTATCAAAGCTTCTACCCACTGCGTTTGAGTTTGGTTTTGTGTAGAATTTCCCGCCTTGTGGAGCAGGTGCACCCTTGTTTCAACCGCGCATTTCATTGGCTTTATGACGTGATACAGAGATACCTCTGGCTGATTGAATACACTTTTGTTTTACTTACTGAACAAATCCGCTAATTTGTCATCGACTGAATGAAAGGTATTGTGGCTTTTTCACAGCGACGCCTTAAGCTTGTAAAGTTGTTTTTCTTGTTAACCTTTGTTTTCTCCGTTACGATGCGTTCCATTACGATTTTCTGTTGTTAGATTTTGCATTTGAAAGGTTTTTTTTATTCCTAACATAGCACTTATATCTCCAAACGTGACCAATAATCTCTTGCTGTGTCCTTCTTGTCTTATTTGCATATCTTATTTGTGTTCAAGATATTCTAATCAACAGGAAAGTGCCTTGGACTCAGCCGCTTTGTGAAAACAGACTTTAAGTCTTTTTTTTTTTAATTTTCGGAGCTGCCTGATGGAAAATAGTGATTTCGTGTTAATGAATAAACCCGACGAGCAGAGCAGTCCAGAAACGCTTAGTGCAAGCGGAGGCATTTTGAAGTGTAGAGCATTAGAGTAAATATCGAAACAGCCTTCAGGTAAATCACAAGCGTGATTGGCAAGTGATAAATCATTTCTATCGCGGAAATGAAAACCGCCAACGTTGACTTTCACATGTTGGGGAAAATATAATAGAAAAGCAGTAAAGTTGTTTGTAAATTTTACCTTGGTAGCGGAACTGAACTGAATTCAACCAGTGATTGTTATGTTTTGAACTTCCTGCGCAAAACGACGGCCTTCAGCTAAAATTTCATCACCATCTCGTGGAACAATTCTTTTTTAACATTTTCCTAAGATCAGACGTGATTTTCCTCAGCACAGCTACGACTGTTTTCCACACGCGTCCACCTCAACTACAAAGCGTATCAACCTGTCCCGACCACTATAGCTTTATTTATTTATTCATGAGGGATGGATGCATTAAAATACTACGTAAGAATACAAAGCTGTTGTTAAATAAATGCAGATGCGTATAAAGTCGATACAAAGTTATTGAAACGCTCAAGGATGGTTTTTTATACTGAGCTTAAGCATTATTCGCACGAAGCTGTAGCCGTAAACGTGCAATTTTTCGTGCCAAGATCTATTAGACATTGACTCCGTAGGATAAGAGACCACATAATTATAAGGTTTTTTTCTTTTTTTTTTTTCGCTTCTAGGGTTATTCGGAAAGGGAAAAATCCTTAAATTCATGGATAGGAAATGCATCTCTTGAACTTGCACGAGACATTTCAGAAAGTTCTTTGTTCTCACATAGACATGTAAATGGAGTAATAGCTCGACAAAGAAACAAATTAAAATGTTCAAAGGAAAGTCGTCATCGGTAATGTGGCCATCAAATTACATGAATATGAAAGTGTGAATTGGACTTAAAGAAATAGATAGTCAATTTAATCTCAGTCTGTCGAACGTGTGCTTATCACTTGTAAGAAACACTTGGGCCGAACACAATGCGCTTTTCTTTATCCAGCTGTGACCAATCGAAGTCGTTGTACAAAGAGGGGACAATATCAGATTTATGCATTTTGAAAACTTTTTAAACGCAGAGTGGATATGCTAACCTGATCAGACGAGGGAGAGGGAAAGCTCATACCGAATTCGATTTTTGTCGCTATCATTTCCCAGAATCTAGAGCCATTTTGATTCACTCAGAAGGAAAAAAGTTTGCTTAAAAACGCGGCAGAAATAATCAGGTAAGTGTGTTAAGAAGGTGGTGCGTAACGATTTGGCAAAAAAATGGGCAGGGATTGGGGACTTGCGTGAATCCTAAACCCGGGATTTGTGTACCTCGAAAGTACAGCAGATCGCGGATAAGCTGGCGAGCCGGAAATTTTGTCACAGACTAAGAACTGTGAATTAACAAGAATTTCAGATCTCGGCGGATTCCATATCATTTGAAGATCTATTCAGGATGTTTGGGTTTTGGAACATTTCAGTAAAGTTCCTTTGAGCCACATAGTATTTCGCAGTAAACCTAGGCTAAACCCATGGTTTAGCAGTAGCGAAGAGAGAGATTTTTCGACCTTTGACTTGGTGTGAAAAATATTCGAGTACCGATTGTTGTGTGTTCAAAAGGTGTTTATGAGCGATTCAGAACCCAATATTTCCCATTTGTATGAATGACTGTTATCTTTTGTCGTTAGTTCTTGACTCGAAATATTGGATGAAAAAGCCACTGTCCCTCCCGTCCCTAACGGCTGTTTGTTCCCTGGCTGTTTTTCACGGCGGCTTTTAACACATCACTCAACAAGCAGGTCATTAGAATAGTAAAACGTATTAGTTAGAGGGTGTAAAATTCTTAGAACCAATTTTAAAGGACAAATTTTACAGCTGGAAAGGAGACTTGCTAATAGGTACCGATAGAGTGCTTGTATCTACTTTCTGCCAAAGACTCCGGTGCTCAAGCATACTCTTTTGGGAAAGTAAAATAAGGACTGGTTAATGTCCCTATATCAGGGACTATTTGCTTAGAAACGTGTTCTGTGGATATTTATGAGCCATTTTCACTATTGTTCCCTCCCTAAACTGTAAGCCCTTTTTAATATCTCACTTTTTAGTACTCGTGTGCATGATAATCATCTTTTTAAATTTGTTGAGACGGATACTTGCCTCAACTGTCGGCTTACAGGTAGCACTGCACTTTTTATCTTTCTTTGTTCGCCCGATTGGATGTTCGATTACTTATTTATTTCTTCATANCCAAGCTTGCTCGGGACCGTACTGGAAGAATATCGGCCCTCGGTCTTTTTTGTACGGACCGAGCTGCGCTCGGTTCGTACTGTCAAGACCTCAGGCCGATAATCTCCCAGTACGGCCCTCGCGCTTGGTTAATAAGATATATTTAAACCTGCTTGTTCCCCAGATATCAATATACACTCACCATATCTTCTCGAATCTCTTACTTCTTTTACTTTTAAGAATTTTGCTTTGAATCAAACGTTATCCCCAGGTCATGTTTCATTCAGTTATCTTATCATCTTTCTCCTAGACAATGTTTTTATTCTGTCGGAAAAAAATATTGTATGGTAGCAAACGGGAGTCAAGGGATTAAAATAGATTCAACCTCTCAGACAAATGATATTGATTTAAAGGGACGCGGTCACGGTCTGCGCATGCTCTTGTAGCCGATCGAAACCTGAAAAAGTCATCCTGACATTTTCAAGTTGCATTCACAAATTCAAAATGGCGTTTATGGTAAGCTGTTATTTGATTTAAACAAAATCGAATTCTGAATATCTGGTAAACTAAAAAAAAGAATCTCGCAATGAAAGAATTGTTACCGCTCTATTCTTCGTCCTGGAGCTCTGTTTTATTGTAATAGGACAACTGATAAGTTTAAGATGTTTGAAATAGTTTCTAAGGGAGCGAACCTTCGACTATTTTTTTGAGCAAATTTATGATGGTTCTTAGCTTAAGTTTCTCCGCTTGGGTAGAAATAAATGTCTTCAGCTGATCATGAGTAAGTTTGACCACAGTTTGAAGCACTCTACTTTATTTCTACGCCAACGTTCAAGGCTGGCGTTCGGTTTCTTTTCAGCCGGCCTCGTCGCCTCCTTTTCGAGTGTGAATAATCGGAGACTTGCATGTCTGAATTTTAATGCTAAACTTTGACAAATGAAACCTCAATGTGCATAATAAAAATGCCTGTCAAGTGATAAACGTTTAGAATTTCATTTCGTCTAAAGAAGATAAAATTCCTCATCATTAATACCAGTCCGGAGAATTCTGCGGCGAAAGAGAAATTTGAGGTGACTTCGTTTTCGTCGCAAAGCAGGTGGTCGCCAAATAATCAATAACAAGTTTTTCCTCTAATTTTGTCAATTTTGATCAGATGAAAGAAAATCTACGATCGTTTTCTTGAAAAAAAAAAAAAATTGCAGTGTAGCAGAGTACCCTCTCGCAAGAAAACCTCACAAGTTCTTCTTACAAATTTCAGCTCAGTTGTAATTAGTAGTTCCGGAGGTAAATAAACAATGTTGTTAGAGTAAACTATTTCTCTAATAGCGAAGCTAAGTATGACAAATTTACTTACCTGCAGAAGAGAAATTTATCTTACTAAATATCCGAAGGCTGAAATTTCTTCGGAGAATTGAACATTTCTGAAACGAGTTGTTGAAATATGTAGTATACTGAGTGATGTGGGGGTTAATTAGTCTTAAATTGCACCTGCGTGGTGAAATTGGCGGTTTCGGCCTCCTCTTGGCGGCATAAAGTCAAATAATAAGTGTGCTTGTTAGTTAAAATACCGCCTCAGAGCATTTACACAGAAATCATTTTCTAAATGTTTAGGTTTGAACTTTATACAACGGTGGTCAAATATTAATGTGCTTTCAGACTTGCCGACTTCGTCAGGTTAAAGGGAGGGGGATGTTTAGTAATCTTTTAAATTTACCTTAATCTTGGCCGAAGTGTTGCGAATATCCCCAGAAGGTAAGGTTGTATGAGGTTTATCTTTAGGTGACAGTAAATATTGGTTATATGGAAATAAAAGAGTGAGTAATTGCGCCACGCCATATATATGTCACTGCGGCTGCTTAACTGTCACTTTTAAAAAAAAAAATCCGCTGGAACAGGTTATTGATTTAAACTGATGTATCGTGACCTTGGGAAATGAGTTTTCAATGATGCCAGACTTAAGCACTGTATAAAAAATAATTAGAGTAATTCTCATGGGCATAAAACGCTTAAGAATTACGAGGTTGAGATGGATAATTGAGAGTTTGGCACAAAATGCTTTGATTACCACTTCAGTCGATTACCTTAGGGCTGTGTCATTTATCAATGCTGTTTCAACTTGTGGGATAAACTGATAGAAGTGGAAGTGAAAGGGGAGGTATTTTCCTCTGAATGTTTTGCGTAGTTGCCAAATTATTTCTACACTGCTCGAAGTGTTTATCAATCCTTTTTTACAGATGTGAAAGTGGAGAGGATTATTTTCTTGAATATCACCAATCATGCAATTATAACTTCCGATAAGAATCAACACTGACAGACGGATTGTCTCGCTCCGTTGGTCGGGCTCCAAGGATATTTCAAAAAGCAATTTAGTGACTGGTAATATTTAAAATAAATCTACGGTTAGGCCTCCATTTAGAGCTTGTCCTTGACAAGGGCTTTGCACATGATATGAGGGCGGTGTACAAACACGACAGGAGTGAAAAAAAAAAGAGTTTTGAGTTGAGAAACGTTTTTATTATTATTATTATTATTATTATTATTATTATTAATTTTTTTTTCATGAGATTATCTTTCTCGGTTCGATTAGCAAACAACCAGAATACTATGTTCCACACCGCAACGAACGCAAGTGAAATGGATACACGGAAACCGAATAAACTAAAAAAAATCTCCTTCGGACGTTTTTGATTTAGAAATTGCTAAATTAACTTGTTGATCGAAGGGGATGGAAGTGATGGAGGAAAAAAGAGACAAGGAAAATTGAGCTGGAGGAAGGATTCGAAATGGAGCTGGTGTGGGTCGCTTTGAAAGATCCTCCAATTGTATACCCTTTCATTTTCACAATTTTTTTAAAATGAAAGTTGTAGTATTAACGAATATATTTAAAAAAATGGCCGAAATGGAAATAAAAAAAAAAAATAAAAAAAAAAACTCCTTAGTCATACAAAATAGAATCTTTGTCAAGAAATCAAATGTTTGACGGAGTTCTTCGCAAGCAGAGGGAGGCTAAAACGAAAAATTTATATGACTTCTTGAAATCGAGCAGCTAATTTTAGGAAATTGTTTGTCTCAGTGGAGCGTGATTTATGTTCATCGTTTCCAAAAATATAGTACCTCCTTTCCCATTTTCTTCGCCGCGTTTAATCTTTATATCGAGTCTCAGATCAAGGATTCCTGAACTGTCGCTGCTAGAGGGATGTCTCTTTTCCATTATCTTCATTTTATTTTTCGCGTCAAGAATACCAGATTTGTCTTGATTAATTTATATTTAACGTCTTGACACTTCTTTTAACCGTATCTATTAAAAATATCTTCATCAGTACGAAACAAGATTCACTGATATTTATGCTGAACATAAATAACAAAGTTTGGCTTGTGTTATAATCAATTTATAGAATTCCTCGGACAACGTATTTTGTGCAATATTTCATAAACCCCTCTAATGTTATCCGTTTAGTTCCGAATGTAGAGCAAGCGAAATCCGATCTTTCTGTTTAGCTGGCATAAGACGCAATGAAACAGGTAGAAAAATTGAGGCAAGCTTTACCGGTTGACTGTTAGTTAATCGATGAAACGGTCAAAGTTGCAATTTTTCAGTTCGTTAAGAACTTACACCACTTCCAGTCGCTCTTGGCCTAGCGTCGCTATGGCTCAAGGTTAACTTTCCTCCAATTCCAGAACTTATTTTGATTAGAGCTTGTTTAGTTTTGAACATCAAACACTCGATATTGCCACCGGTGAACAGTTGGAGACATGATGTCATCACCCCAGAAAAATACGGTGCTATTTAGTCCCTATAATATCAGATTTTAAGCCTCTCACGAGAAATTTTGAGTACAACGACACAAAGGCAAACTAGCACTCTCCGCTTAAATGCAACGGGTTAAAAATCGCCCTATAGCTGGATTCCCAACCCTTTCAACAAAAACACGATTGTGATACTTATGTTTTTTTCTTTTTTAGTGTTTGATGTTAATTAAAATTTTATGCCTTATGCGCAATCCATGAGTTGGAATTTCACGAAAACATTGCGACACTTTTTTTATCAAACGGGACCGTCTATCTTGAACTAGGCGATCATACCGCGATAGTAAAAACAGGAAGTAATTTACAGATGAATAGCCACAAGAAGGCCTTTCTGTGATACGCTAAAAAATTGCACAAGGTAGTTTTGTAAGAAAATTCTTGGCGTGTTTGGGAAGATTTCCTACAGCGTGACAAGTCGCTGTCGATCTGTCATTTCAATCGTAATCTACTTGTTAATTCAACTTGTCTTGCGATACAAGAATAAAGAGGGCATCCGTTAAGACTATGTTTGTGAGATAAGGGAAGGAAGTAGTAGAATATCGCGTGCAAACAGCGCTATTTGCACCGTTTACCTAGGCATGACAAGTTGCGCCCCAGGATACTAAAGGCTAGCCTGATTAAAGTCTTCCTTAAATTGTCATGCTAATTGCCTGTTTCACCTGTCGAATGTAGCTTTTACGGGGGACGCGTACAGAGCCTAAGACGCGTTAAAATGTTGGAAATCGAACCATAGTGTGAACAACAGTAGCATAATTCTGATGTTTTTTGAAGGAAAAAGCCTCCTCATTGTGTTCGTCCCGAGTGAGATGGAAATGCAAAGGTAAAGATAAGATGGCTTTGTGAAAACGAGCGGTTACGGATATCTGACACTTGTCAAGTTTGAAAATATGTTGTTTTTTAATTTACATATAGTTAAAATGATTTTTAAATCATATTTAAAAAGGTACAAATCTTTACCTTACTCGATATTGAATTTCCGAGCTTTTCCTAGAATAAAATAGTTCCATTTTAGGGAAAATATTTAGATACACTTAAATTAGGGTACCTGAATTGTGTTATTAGAATGCACGCCTTTTTTTCTTATGCAAACCGTACTTTTCTAGTCATCTTATAACCGACTCTTCCAAAAATATTTTACAATAGTTGAACAATTTGGGCCGTGAACGCGAGGGGTTCACGAATGTGAGTGCGAATGTTTTTAATTGAATTGCTCAACATGTGGAAATTCTCAAGCGATTGCGTTCAGTAGTTAACTTAATCGTGGCACTCGCATCGCAGTCAGCATGCGTGTAAGTAAATGATACTTGTTATTGTTTTGAAACCTGGAAGGACGAAGCACAGCTTTCTGTCGGTTCAGCCAACTCCTTCGAATAGCCTATTTACGTTCAAAGTCTTAAAAAATGTTTCAATGAGATGTTTTGAAAGTGAAGGGTTATATCATGTTTGGACAGCTTGAACTGAAGAACTACTTTTACCTTACGTTTGAAATGAGCTTGAAAAGTGAAACCTATTTTTCAACTTTTTTATTTGAAAACCCTAGTTCATAATTCTCTCCTGTTTCTCCTTGGTCTATAATTTTCTTCTCGTCCTCTGGTTCTGTTTCGAAGGTACTTTCAGAGCGGGGTGCAAAAATTTGGCCGTGTGTTTGTCTTTTTTAACCTGTTTAGTCTAGCACTTTTTCTTAAGTTTATTTTCCTGGTGAAAAACCGTCTGCTTTTGACGATTTTTCCATTTGTTATATTAAACGTACTAAGCATTCCTTTGAAAGATAGATAGAAATTGAAACATAACTCAGTGCTTTTCCATGAGTTCATCCGCTCTAAGTTCATCCATCCTTAATCCGATTTAGTATTGATGACTCTTTCTCTTAAGTATATTTTTCTAGTGAAAACCCGTCTACTTTTGACGATTTTTCCATTAGTTATATTATATGTACTAAGCATTCCTTTGAAAGATAGATGGAAATTGTTTAAACATAACTCAGTGCTTTTCCATGAGTTCATCCGCTCTAAGTTCATCCATCCTTAATCCGGTTTAGTATTGATGACTCTTTCTCTTAAGTATATTTTTTTAGTGAAAACCCGTCCACTTTTGACGATTTTTCCATTAGTTATATTATACGTACTAAGCATTCCTTCCCCTCCGAGTTCAGCCATCCTTAATCCAGTTTAGTATTGATAGCTCTTTCTCTCCGGTATATTTTTCTTGTGAAAAACCGTCTACTTTTGACGAGTTTCCTCAATTTATATTGTAGGGATGCATTCTTGTTAAAGGTAGAAGGAAACTGAGTAACTTTCCGAGAGTTTGTCCTTTCGTTGTTAGGCCACCTAATTCCTATTCTAATTACTTTGTCTGTGACATATTTTTTTTGGGAAAACCATCTGCTTTTGAAGATGTGTCCTTAAATTTTATAAAATGCAAGCATTCTGGTGTAAAGTAAATGGAAACACTCACTCACTCACTCACTCACTCACTCCCTCACTCACTCACTCATCTCGATAACATATGTGGCTTCGCCTGCTATAGGAGGCTGTAGCCACAAATAAAGGACCGAGACATTAAAAAAAGACATCTTTCGGGATTAATTCTGCGATTATACGAACTATACTTGAAAACTCTTTCATTTTAACATCGATTGCTTGTTCAAATGAAATGACACCGAGATGCTTATATTACTGACTCCGCCTCTCTATCGCTCTCCCTTTTAATGTGGTCTCAGTGCCCTAGCAATTCCAGACCAGCTTGGTCGAAAATTTTGAGAGTAATTTAAATTTTGAGAGTAGTCACTTGAACTGTTTAAATTTCGAAATACGAAATGCAAACTTCGTCGCAAGGATTGCTTGTTAGTTATAACAAAGTGCGAGAAAGCGATGGGAAGTCTTATTCGACAACTTGAATGTTATATATCTAGTTGGTAAACACCTGTTTTCAAGAGGATAAAAAAATGTTATGGGCAGATATACCTTATTTGGCGCAAGCTTTTGACTAGAGGTTTCAATCTGAAAAATTTAAACGTCGGATCTTATGTTCTCAACCAATTAATTTATTTAAAAGGGAAAGTTTGGCAATTTTCTTTTTCTCCTTAGAATAACTGTAGTAACAAGAGTTTCAGGAAAATGCACGAATGGTGTACGATAACCATCAGGGATTGCCCTATATATCAAGGTCTAGATGCTTTTAATGATTTTCTCATAAGATTGAATTGAGATGCAACTTTTTATCCACGAAATTCTGGCAGCACGTGACAAAGACAAGTCTTAGATCTACAATGTTTGTGAAAATAGCAAAAAATACCGAGCACAGCCGGTCGGTATTCATAGTAATGCTGCATTTAGATCTACAATGTTTGTGAAAATAGCAAAAATTACAGAGCAGAGTCGGTATTCATAGTAATGCTGCATTTAGATCTACAATGTTTGTGAAAATAGCAAAAAATTACCGAGCATAGTCGGTACTCACAGTAACGTTGCGTTTAGATCTACAATGTTTGTGAAAATAGCAAAAATTACAGAGCAGAGCCGGTATTCACAGTAACGCTGCATTTACAATGTTACGTTTGGAGTTAGAATTTTCTTCTACTCACCACTGAGGGAATGCTTTTCCAGAATGCCCGTTACGTTACTTTGTTTGTTTAGAGTATAGAGAGAACTTGTTTGTTTTGAATATGCCTAGGAACACCTTTTTGGTGTACTCCTGTGAGAATAAATAATCGACAGGAGATCAAGCGATGGTCCTTTTCTGTATTAACGTTATGATATTCCTCTCTATTGGATACTTGGTGTTTGTTGCCATCTGGAAACCTCGGGTTTTTTCTTAATGTCTATCAATCAACATCTGTGGCTGACTGTTGAAGAAATCGTTACCAATTACTTTACCAATTTACCTTCCTGAGGTCACTAGATGGTACTGCTCCGTGCATCTTAATTGTCCATAATTTCACTCATCATCTATCTTCTTTTTCTCTTTAATCGAGAAATGAGATTCGTTCTGAATTTCTATGGTGAGTTAAACAACACTTTTGTATATATGTACATATTTCAAGTATCCAAGCGGTCTTTTTTGTTGTTATGGTCATCTCTTGCTCATTTTAATCACCTAGTAGTCGGTTGTCAAATTGTAGGAACCAAGAAAAGATACAATTTAGAGCAAAACATTTTCTTATTTGTTAGGTAATGACTTGCTTTCGAGTGTAATTCGGAATAGATAAACACCAGTAATTTCTAAAAACCAACTATTTCACGAACTCGTGGGTGGAGGGCACCATACAGTCTTTGAAAAGTTGTTCGAGTGCTTGTTTTTTCCACATTGCATGATACTAATCATGTTTTAACTACTAATGATATACAGAAAAAGTTTTGTTTCATCGTTATTCAGGGGCAAACCACGCGATTTACGAGCAGAAATAAGTAATTCAAACCCAGTAAAATTTCATTGTACGTCGGTCGAAACAACTACGGTAAATCAAAATGAAATTTCATAATTTTTTTTTCTAAGCTGTAAGCCTCAAAATTGTTCAAAGCTCGGCCTTGTTACCTTCTTTTACTTTGAATCACCCCTCCGTGTATCTGCACTGAATCACCTCTCTTCTTTAACGTGTTACCTGAAAACGGTGTATCTCTTAGCCAATCAGAATGAAGGAGTTTTTTTATGAATATTAATGATTAATAAATTGCACTGCCGAGAGCCATTAGTTTTTTCTTTAAGAAAAGGGAAACCACAAAATATTTTGTTTTAAGATCGAGAGTCAGTCAATTGTCCCTTTGTGCAATTTTTCCTTTAAGATGAGGGAAACCACAAAATATTGTTTAAGATCGGCACCCTCTGCAATGGGTGGATGGAACGGGCTCTTAACAGGTCTTTCACTTCTTACTCGTTACACAACACGAGATTACTCTAGGCATAAAAATTGTTTTTAAAAAAACCCGGGCTTGCGAAATCAGTCCAGCCAGGTGCAAGTGTCTTAGTTTGTTAGATAGCTGCTAAGATCGCTTTGGCTTGAAATGTCACAAGGTAGATGACACTATAATGTGTGTCTGTGATGTCAAGTTTATGGTGCCTTTGTTGTCCTTTGAAACTGGATCGTTCCTATCGAGAAAGTTATCAGTTATCCAGTTTTGATGTCATGCAATCTCATAAATTACGCACGTATAAGGGCGGCACACAAGTATCACGATCAATTCTATGCTTTGATTGAATGGTTTAATTCTGTATCCGTAATTTTACTTCGTAATTAGTTTCAACCTTGATCTGTCTATGAACCCATCGGTAAAAGGTATTTATGTTATTGTGAAGAATTAATGTATTGCCATGAAAAGAGAAAAGTCTGAGTGTTCTTACAAACGCAAAGCGTTGAAGATAACTTGGCATATACTCGTGCTGTGAGTACATAAGAGTCTCTGGGTTGAGGATAATAACATTTTGGCCTGAATAAACAAACTGGTTTATCTGTTTCAGGTTTTGATAGAAAAGCTGAGTTATTAGCATTAATAGAATATCCCCTGTATACGTGAATATTCGCTATTCTTCTGCTTGCTGCAGTTTCTAATGGAAAACAACTTCGTTAAACTGGATGTATTATTTAATGCTGATAATGGTAAATTAATTCCGCAGATTGATACTCCAGAATTTCCCACTAAGTGATGAACTGGGTGTATTTTGCTAGTTTACTTTGAAGGTAAGGGAAATACACATTTTCATTTGAAAAGAAGCCGCTTTGCAGGAAATCAGTTAATGTCATCGTGGTGTTTTCAAATCATGGAAACTAGAAAGTTATAAAGCTTTATTGAATTTTTCACAACAAACCGAATGTGAAAAAAACAAACAGGAACATGATAACAATGTGAAAAACAAAAGATGAAAAAGATAATTATACGATTGTAAATCCAGAATGTGCGCACGTAGAATTGTCCTTGAATAGGCCAGTAAACCTCTTAGCGATCGCCATTATTACGGTCGAGCTGGTAAGTGCTGCGAATATCGCTTAAAACAGCGCTTAATGTGTCAGAAAAAGTGTTGAAAACAGCATCTTTAATTGTCAAACTGAGAAACCAATGTCAGTAAATGCACCGGACGTTTTGCGCAGGTGTGTTTGAAGAAGCATTACTCTCATTGGGTCATGAATCATTTGTCTTTGTGCCTAAGGAAATATTCATCTTCCTGCTAGTAGCCTAAGAGATGTACACCTGCAAATGGATATTCGCTTCATTTGGCCATTTAGTATGCTGGTACACGACAAAACGGACAAAAAAGTAATTCAATAACTGAGCGGGATAAATCAGCACGCAAGGCAGTTTATTAGAAAAAAACTCGGCTGTCATTCTAACACACCTACTCCAGCAAAAGGCAAAGGTTGGTGTCGATTTGGGATCTCTTTCGTATACGATATGGAGACGGGAAAACTGCCGGTTTTGAGCGTGCAGAAGATAATGTGATATTAACATTTGATAAATTGAAACATTACTTTAATAGCCATTCTGGTTACAGCTTGATTGCTTGATGCATTTTTCATAATTTCTTAGCCCTTTTTAAAGGGTTAAATATGCAAAAAAAGATGAAAAATCCATTTTGCAGCAATTCAACATGCGAAGACAAAATCGGTTGCAATAACGTCGAAGGAAGCTTTTAGATCTAGCCAAAGGCTGTTTGTTAAAAAACACCAAACCATTTATTTTTCATTCTGTGTGGGATTCAATGAAATTTTTGCCTCCAAATGATGTGATGGTCTATTTTGTATTCAAGCAATCGAGAATTTAGTGCCCTGCACCAGATTAATGCCATTATATGACTGGTGTTTACTCTTCTCCCCTTTTTGTAAGAGATAGTTCGTCGATGTTTTAACGGGTGAGATTCTGTCGTAATGTAAGTCTTACACGTTCCTGTTTATGGCACATTGCAAACCACTCGTCTCTGTTCCTGTAGAAAACTTGGATATGTTCGGATTTCGATATTTATATTAGTTACTCAACTTGCAAATTTTACATGAAATTATAACAAACAAAAACTAACTTCGCTAACGAAACCTATTACCGGGAATTTGACTGATTTTAATAAGTATCGATTTCACGCCCTGTTTTCAAGTTTAAAGTTTTACAATTATTCTATTATCACATTGAACTCTGTGAGACAAAGCCGTGGGAACTGTTATTTAATAATTCTGGATGATGTTTTACCGTTGTAACTATCTGGCACTTTCTTGGTGCCTCTTTACTACGTTGGAATAGTCCGGAATTGCCTGTTTAGGCACGCTATCAGCGTGAAGTACCTTTATTTCTCGACATTTCTTCCAAATTAACTTCTCCTAAGAAAGGAAACAAATTATCTCGGTGGGAGAGCACTTATGATTCAATATGAATTTCTGCTTTAGTCGCAAGTTGTGTAATCTGAATGAAAAACGAATTATGTTCCGAGTATACGTTGGAATCATTACAGATGGTGTTAAGTTTTTCGGCTACAATTTGAAATGAAACGAGGAGAGTTGAAAAAGAATGGCAAGCAGAAGATTCACACTGTCCGTCAGACGCCTGGCGCCGCCCGGCTCCGGCTCCGGCTCCGGCTCCGTCTGTTTCCTAACAATATAAAAGAAAATCTTCAGATAATTTATTAAAAACGGGACATTTTTTCTCCGCTTCAGGTCATTTTTCAGCTTAATAAGACCAAACTCGACCTGGCATATGAGTTGTGGTGACCAAAGAAACATTGAATATCGTTAATTGAAAATTAAATGAGCATGAAAAAGTGAAAAACGAGACTTTGCTCAGAGGTAAAAAGGTAATTTAAAGATATTAATGGCATACTTGATTCTTTCAGTATTCTTTATTTTTGCATTTTCCAAGTACTTAACGTATTTGTTCAAAATGACTTTCGACATGTCTTGCAGAAACATCTTCCGTAAGTGTAAGAGGGCTTCACAACGTCTTTAGATCAGGTAAATCACGTTCTTTTCACCATGTTGTGCTGGGCTAGCCAAGTGTTCGATTCTTGATGAACAGCTCATGTCTGGTGCGACTTTTAGGCAATTATGCACTTCTCAAATGCAGCCGTCATGTTATATGTCAGTCTCTCTTGAACTAGAACACTGCTCACCGCTGTTGATAGGACCGAAGCAAACTGTTTTAGAGGGTTTTTTTTAATTTCGCTGCATGAGGGGCTAGCGTAAGTTTTCGTTTCGATCAAACTGCCTCACTTTATCAGTAATTACAAATGTATTCTTTAATATGAATTGTATATCTGTTCTTTGAATTCACGGATCAATTTAGTGTTGCAAGATGTCTATTGAGAAGTAGCAGCACGCGTTTACTTATATGATTACAGTTTTTTCGAATATCAGTTACTGACTGACATAAGAAATAGAGCATTTTTCTTGCATCCGTGTAGTTAAAAGTTGGATTCTCGAGTAATTCTCACACTCTACACAGTGTTCCAGTGATTCATGGTGATCAAATGTTCGATCGATCGAAAAAATTCGTTCGTCTAGCACGTGCAGATACCTTAGTTGCTCTTCGCTCTTATTGGGCTGAAAAAGGGATGCAGTTTGCACTGAGGCGCATCACAAATGTATCATGCATCGTTTTAAAAAAGTACAGCAAAAAAAGTATTTTATCACAAATCTGAAACATACTTAAAAGCCATTTACCGTCTGCAGAATTTTAATTGCGGCAACAATAATTCGTTGTCAATTCACAGTCCTTTTATTTGAATTATTTTGAGTCACATAGCTAGATATGACATGTTTACGTGTGCATTTTTATTATTCGTACTGGATATGTTGCTATGTCGTATTTAGTAAAAAACGGAATTTTTTTCTTGGTCACGAAAGAAAATTTCACTCGACAGTCCTATTTGGAATCAAGTTAAACTCTCGAATCGAAACAATTACATCAGGGTACGGCTCATTTTTCATTACCATTTTTTCGTTTCCATCAACGTATTGTGGCGCAGCAACGACTATTGCTAAAAAAAAGTCTTTCGGAAACTGATGTTTTCTCCGTACAAATTTCAGAAAAGTCGAAGAAAATGTAAAGCACTTGCAAACACAGCAATTGGAATAAATAGCCCAATGCCCAATTTCACAGTTCCACATTTCCTTTGAAAAAAGATGTTTTTACAGCACATTAAATTTCTTAAGTGGCTGAAACACTATGGGCAGCTGTTCAATTGTGAGACTCAGTATCGCAATATGTTTCGTCGATTTTGTTTCAATAAGGCTGGTACGCCTCGCAGACCCAGTTTTTGATAACAAATTGATACACAATGACAAATAAGGCAAACATCAGTCTTAAAAGCATTTAGCTGTCCCCGTATCGCCATGAATAAACTTGCTCTTATGGTGAAAAAGATAAATTTTCTCTTTTTATACGGGGCTGATTTAAGAATCAGTGGGAAAACTGGACAAAATCAGAATTAATCTTTGGCGTTTGTTGAAACTATAGACATACGATGCCAAAAGCAGCTGAATTGTTAACTGAACTCAAACCTCCCAAGTTTTCGGAGTATTTTGGAAGAAATTAATGGTAAGAGCCATCATGCAAGAGCATGTGGCACAAAGGAAATCTCTAGATCCGTAGATTGGATTCGAGGCGATAGCGTGTGGAATTATGTGCGGACGAGGAAGTGATAAACGCGGCAGAAGAAAATTCAATTGCGAAGAGCACAAAAGATGCTACTTAGTTTGGCGGAGTCTTTCTTTAAAAGACATATATGAAGTTTTTGCTGATCCAATTTAATAAACCTTTTAAAACTGCTTGCTCAACAATATTCACTTCGCCCTCCATCTGCGAATAATCGTTGAATGTTCTTTGCCCGTTTGGTACATAGGACGGTAACGAATTAGCATACCTGTGCAAAATGTTAGCAAACTTCACCTCGCCCTTCCGCACTGTTTGAATATAATGTACAGACTTACATAACTTTCAACTTATTCTTTATTTCAAAATAGAAATGTAGTCTCTTTATCTTTCAAACATAACTTGATTTAGTCATTTTTTCTTACGTTAATTTATTCTATTGGTTGAAATTATTATGACGTATCATGCAAATTCATTGCTAGAATTTTAACTTTTTGAAAGTGAAGACGAGAATGTTTTTTTTTTAGTGTGTTACGTATTTTTAGTTTGCGTATTGTTTTCGTGATGAGACATTTTAAAACTCACGTGTTTAAAACAATTTACCCAGTTCCTCGTCGGCAGTGCGCCATAGTTACGTTTCTTTAATATCATAGCAAATATCTAGGTAAAGCAAGCAATCCAAAGGATTACCAAGCCACTTGTAGACCCACTAACTTTTGTGTATGTAGTTGAGGTCGGTTTCTTGCTGATAAAGCATCGTTCACATTTACTCGTTTGTGGTTTTGTATCATGGTGGTCAATTCTAGTTAATGAAAGGAAAAGTGATTGTAGAAATGGATGTCTAGTAGTCCAATTTGCGTGTTTACAGAGCTACTTTTAAATTCCATTAAGCTTCGTTAAGTCAATTGAATAATTTATGAATCGCAGTTCATCTATTTGTTCAAAAATAAACTTCACTTAGTCCAGTAGACTTAGACAGCATTTATCGTGTGCGTGTCACAAGCCGTGAATAATATTATTGTTGAATGATTTCCACATCTGGTATTTGGTGACGAGCCACGAGGATCGCTCATTAAAAGGTTAGATGCGGAATTTATTGGAATTTTTTTCTTTTGAGCACTATGGAATACCGCGATTAGCGCATAAAAACTCCCTGACACAACAGTGTTTATAGAATGGCTGAAGTAAGGTACTGAGTGAAAATCTATCAAATGCTTGAGGGCGGACAGATTGATGGAAATCACGTTAAAGAAGTTGTAAACCTGTTTGTCTATTGACTTGTGTGAAAACCAAACAAAACGAAACTAGCTAATGAGCAGAGAACGAAAGGCAGGCTCTCACACCAAAGAAGTCTTTGCCTGAAAAATCAATTATACCACGGATAAAGTTGATTCTTTCTTTTGACTATCACCATAAATTTTGTCTTCATTGACTGCTGTGAATCGGTTTGATTTTTAAGAGCTTTCAAAAACTCATTTTTTGACGTGAATGTCGTGTTAAGAATTAAAAGGTCCTCTGTACTCTTAATCTAACCAAGTGTTTAGGTGTTCGCTGCGTAACAGCTTTTGTGTGTGAATGTTCCTTCACTTTGTTCGTCAAAATTTCAAGTTGGTTTGCTTCGCTCTGTGGACACGTCTACATTTTATGTTTCGGTTTACGACTGTTTTACAACACTGCAGTGTGTTAAGGTCTATGGCAAATAATGACTGCTTGAAAAGTTGAATAATGAATCGGATTTAGGTTTTACTCAGGTAGGGTGGGGTGGGGGAGACGGAAAAAAAAATGACTGGGAGAGGGTGATTACCGCGCGCATGTTGATGTAGGTTTAGTCAATCGCGTAGTCACATCATCCCGGTGAAGACAGTCCTTAGAATGACTGTAGTCGATGGGATTGTCTTGAGTTCCTCTAACCGTAATGGATGTCGTCACCAAGGTCAAGAGACCTTGGTGACTCATGTACTTGATTTTTACTTGGTTTAACAAGCTACGCCAGACAGTCTGCGAATTTTTGATAAATTCTTCACTCAAAACCATTATTATCCGTTGATTCATTTTAGCCTCTACACTGGAATCGATCTTACACGACGTGGTTGACAATGATGAATCTTACATCTGTATGATGCACGATCCTCGCAGTAGATAGCGCTATTTAAGCAATAGCGAAAATCAGACCTGAAAAAAATCAGGCCTGTACGGGATTCGAACCACTGACCTCTGCGATACTAGTGCAGCGCTCTACCAATTGAGCTAACAAGCCAACTGGGAGCAGGCCGTTAAGTTGATTCGTAATAAACCCGTGAAAGTGATAAATCAGATACAATGAAATATATGAAGTTCATATATATCATTGTATCTGAATCTTACATCTGTACGAAAAACGCACTCTTAGCTTTACCTTGCATAGAAATCAATTAAACCCTATCATTGTAATCAATCCTATATTTTTTTTAACGGAGTTCCGCTGGGGAATGTTGTAAATTGTTTACTTTGATCATGCAAAGCCTTTTAAACGTAACCAACAACCGGATGCTTAATCCCGTATTTCTGGTGAATAGCGTTTGACCGACCTTTTGTGGGACGAAAATACCAAGGGACATGATTATTCTTTTGTCATTCTGGGGTCTTTTCTGTCTTTTTGCGATATAGTGAGCTGATTTCAACTGAATTTGAATACTACAGTGTACAGTTAGTGACGCTACAGAATAGCCGCTACTAGCGCTGTTTTATCAGACAGTTATCGCGGTATGCAATGATAGTTAGGTTTTCTAATAGAATCTATATGAACGCAAAGAGAAGTGACTTGCCTTTTTACCAGATATGGTGTCTTCTTCTGGAGATAGCTAAACTCGAGGTGGTTCAATGTCACGTGACGCGATATGCGGCTTCTTTTCACTCTTGCAAGGTTCAAAATGTTGCCTCTAGCCTTCTTGGGAATCAGCCTTCCTAAATTATGTATCACTAATAAGGGCAACAATTTTCATTTCAAATTCGATCGAATGTACAATAGCTGCTTATTGTTTGAGCCACAGAAGCTAATTGCTGTCGCATCCTCTTGGGTATTTAAATTTTCCTTGAAAGTCTCCCATTTAGATTTGATTTGAGTGAATTCTTTTAGTTAAGTTGTTAAGTAGTGCCAGCCTTATTAACAACAGTGAAAGAATAGAAGGTCATTAAGGGGACCGAAAGGCCGGCATCTTTGTTTGTAAAAAAGCAAACTTAGTGTAAACAGAGGCTGTTTTTTATTTGTAAGGTTACCTTATCATTTATCAAACGAGTTTAAATTTAGACCACTATCTCAAAGTGGTGTTGTTTTTCTTAAATTTAGGAGATTAGGAATGTGGCCTGTGCATTTTTGTTGATAAAAAAGAAAACCCAGTGTAAACAGAGGCTAGTTTTGTATAGATAAGATTTTCGCTGCCTTGATATAGTTCGTGATCATTTGTGAAACAAGTTTACATTTTGAACAATATCTTAAAGTCCTGCTGTTTTCAATAACTTGGAGAGCGATAACCTTGACTCCAAATAGTGCATATAAAGCAAATCTGACCGTTCTGATGAGGGTGGAATGGGCATCAGTTGCCAGGTCGTTTTTCACCGAGATTGAAGATGCTGTTCTCGTGTAGGTTGAGCATTGTTTGTCGTACTTGAACTAGGGTGTGTTTTCATGCGTAGACTGAAAATATTCTTGGTTTAATATCCAACTACATTCCGTAGAGTACAAATAACACCCAAGACGAGTGCAAATATCACGCGGTATTTGTACTCTAGAGAACCGGTTAGACAGGTTTTATCACAACGCGCGAGCAACGAATTGGATTTAAATCATTTTTCTGACGACTAAGAGTCGGAATGAAGAAAATAGAAACAGCAACACAACAAAGCGTAATTTCATTCCTCTTCGCATACTTCTGTCACGCACTCCCCGTATAAAAGTATCCGCGAAATTCGCCCGCACTGAAATAACAATTTGGCGTGATCGATAAAAAATAACCTATTAGACGTTTTGTCACGGTGTAGTATCGCTGAGTATTTTTACTCGTTATTACTTGTGTTTTGTATTATTACTTGTATTTTCACTTGCCTTTCGGGCTTGTCAAAATACGGCACAACTTGTAAAAATACTCAGCGATACTACACAACAGAACGTCCAATAAGATATATGAGTTTATTGACTTAAACATATTTGATTAACGGTTTATCCGACGTGATGCGTAGGCACAGCCTTTTTATTTTTGGGAAACAAACCACTCTTCTGCTGTGGAAGATGATGTGTTTAAACAACTGTCCGAAGCGGTTATTCGAGAGAGAGCTGGTACTATAATACAAGTTCAATCCTACTTGGTTCCTCCTTCAGTTTTAATTAGTTTTGTGATACGTAGCTCTGATTCAGAAATGCCAGAATTAAACCACATTAAATTTTTAATCCTCTGAATTGTTTAGACCCTCTTGGGAAGCAGTTTTAACATATTCAGTTTTGCTTTTCTTTTCTTCACAACCTACTGTTCTAGTGACTGAAACGTCATTGTGCGGCTGTAAACTGAAACAAGAATTCTTAATTTAATCAGTCCTTTCGAGAGTGCAGCAGAGCGAAATGATGATTACCTTTAAAAGTACAATCCGAAAGATTTTGCTAGCAAGTTCGAATATCAAATTATAGATAAAAACAATAGACGAGATGACTCATAGATAATATTATCGAAAAAAAACTTTGATCCATTTACTGATCACAAGTTGTGTAATGCTTGATAGAAGGCAAATAACATTGTGTTGTACACAATAATTGCAAGTATGGTGAGTGCTGTCTTATTTTAGGTACAATGTTGAACTTTTTTTCAATGCTTTGTTGTTTACTTAAGCAGTCAAAATACACACAGAAAACAAGCTAAGGAATATTTCCTTTAACAGCTGTTTTGCAGGGCATTTTGACATTATTTTCCAAAGCATTCCCGTAATTTCCTTTTATTTTTCTCTTTCGTGTTGAAAATGTTTATTTTTTTTTTTAAGAGCTAATTTGACCTACATTTTTGGTTTCAAAGCGAGCGCTTACAATAGAGTAAGTATGTGATTTATTTTGTTTACAAAAGTCTGCAGAAGCGTACATTATTAATGAGGTCTTACCTTTGTGGCGAGTCCAGTGGGATTAAAATTGTTAAAATGCATAGGAGTTGGTCTGTTATCTTAAAGGAAAGCTGACTACTCAAAGAATTTGCCCCCTTTTCTTAGTTTGCGTGCTCAGGTATGATTTTGTTTTCCTTTTACAGTTACTTAGGGCTTAAAGAGGTTTGAAAACGAATAATGAAGGACAGGAACTTGTCAAAACAGTTAGCGACTACTCTTAATTGAAGACACTCTTTCACTCGCTTCTCGTATCCTTTTTCGCCACTCAGCACCCAATGTGTTATCAGAGCATAATCTGACTTTAATTTCTAGTCAATTCCGACAAAAGAACTGAAACCATAAACAATCTCGGCAGTAGTCGCATTATGTCTCTCAATGGGTGGCGTATTTTGAAAAACCCTAATAGCAGCAGTACATGAAAATATTTAATAAGGCGCACAGTTTGTAGCTAGCCAAAGGCTTTGTTGGTTACAACCGAGCTCTCCGTCATTTTTTGCCGGTAGTATTACGTGATAGTTGTATGTTACTAGACTCGGTACGTAAGCATTCAAAGCTGATTTAGTTTCGATTGCAAGTGGTTAAATTCATTGCTGTTCTTGTTCATTTGCAGGTTTGCTAGTGGACATCGTTTCCTCTCATATCCAGGCAGAAAGCAAGAAGAGAAGAACTTTTAGCAACTATAGCAGGTACTGATTTGCCTTCTTTGGCTTTCTCCAATATGCTGCCTAGGTTTTAAAGCTTGTGTTATATGCGTTTGTGCTAAAGTTGCCATATTCAGTTTCCGAAAATGTCATAGAGGTTCAATTTTTGTTGTGTTTAAACACGCGATTTTATACCTTGTGAACAATACAACCACAGGTAAGAAAAAATCACATACGCAGTAAACGATAGACATTAATGTTTAAATAGCAATGAACCATTCTCATTTTATTCGGGCTTGTATGTATTTGCTTTTTAACTACACATTCCCAAACAGACCAGAAGGAAAACGGCAAGCAGTTTAATGTTGTGCTAAACTTATACCGCAGTTTGAATAGCTTCACCTTCGGGGTCTCTTTGTAAACAAAGACAATAACTTGAGAGCCAAGGAGTATTTTCAAAACAAATTTTTTATTTAAATGTGCGTAATTCTTTTAGTAAGCACTTTTCGTGTCTTTTCCGAGACTCTCACTGTTCAGTCAACGGTATTTGAATAACAATAGTGTCTAATTTCTTGTAGTCTTCCATATTGAATGACAATGCTATCAAAAGGGAAATTGTGCTAAATAGCTAAGATGATTATATAACAATGATCTCCTTAAGGGAATGTGGGTGTTAATTAAAGGTACATTTATTATGTTACAGCAAAAATATAGCTCTAGTAACTTTTAAAAGGAACTTTAAAAAAAAGTTGAAATTTGAATACTTTTTTGTGTCAATAGTTGTGTAAAGGGCAATTTCTTGAGAATTTTTTCCCTCCCTTTAATAGCTAAGTAAAGAAGTGAATTTTCTTGAAAATGTAAATAATATATTATCTTAAATGGAATTGTAGTTTAGCACACGTGCATGCAATTGTCCTTCATTTTTCAGCTTTGATATCGTTAACAAATGAACAAACATTCAAGTCTTTGTTCTTTACGTCTTTTAAGCATTGCATGTTGTTGTTAAAGTTTTCTTGTGTCATGCATCGTTTGAGTAATTACGACACGTTATTTAATGAAAAACGGTCTCGTCATTGTGTTTTGTAGTCCCACCCCCCTCCCTCAGAAAAGAACTTTATACCTGTACAAGAACAAGCCTCAGTATGAATAGATTACAGGAGAATGCTGTTATGAAGACACGAGAAAAGCCATTTGGGACAAATTATGTTTCTCTCGACAACTTAAAGCTAAATCAACGAGCTTCATCATGCTTAAACTAAACGTTTTTCCTCTCACTTCAAAGGTCAACAGTTTCACAAGTTTTATGAGACCAACGGTTCATAAATAATAATTCCTGACATTGTGCATATTCACTTGAATCTGATGATGACTTCCGCACAGGTTGTCGAAACGTCAGTCACTGCCACCGACAACAGTCCTTCTCAGGACTACACTCACCCGGACAATCAGACTACACCTTCACATTCTGCATATTATGGCCGACCCCGAGAAGAAAGCGCTAAAAACTGTGTACAAGGCCATCAATCCTTACCTGTCAGTCAACATTTGCAAACGAGCTCTGATATCTTTTGGGGCGTGCGCTTTCAGATCTATCAATGTCAATCGATGAACTACGAATTAACGAGTTAAATTCAATTAATGAACAGGGGTCACTGTCATCCAAATGATGAAAAATGTTTGTTTATGCCGTCTGTATCTGTCGGTGAGATTTTGAACAAGGTGCTGTCCTTGATGTTCATTGCTTTTTGTTTTGGGAAATGTCTGTTACGCGCCAGCATTTTAAACATTATTAGTGATTAAGCTGCTAAAAATTTGGACCATTTTTGAACAAGCATATATCCATCCGTAACTCACAAAGTGTTAAGTTACAGATTATTAATTTAACAGTAGCTCTAACTTAAACAATAATGATCGTGTCTCCCGAAGAAATGACAAAAAAGAACAAGGACTTGCCTTTTAAAGTAATGTTGATCTTCGAAAATGGCTAAAAAGTTTTAATCCATATATTAGCAAATTCAGAAAGTAGTGAAACTCGAAAAGCTGCAACCGCATGAGTAATTTTCTTTTCAGTTTAGGTTAACGGAAATGACAGATGTTAGTATCTTCTTTCGTTTTTGGATAATTCACTCCAACCACTAACATATTTCTATTTTTGGAGTAAGAAAACTCTAGCTGTGTCCAAACATTTGAGACGGTATTAACTTCGGACAACCATTTCCGGTAAACGTTTTAATTACCCAAACGTAGATGATAGCTCAACAGTAAGGACCTCTCGAAGGTAGTCACAGAAGAGGCGCTGCTAACAAGAAAGTAAGTAATTAACCAGTAAGACAACTCAGAGCTAAAAGAACCTTAAGTACTCTTCATTAATATCAATTGAAACAATTAATTACCCTTCTACCGCTTTGCATATCGGTTACCTATGATACGGTTTTTACTTTTGTCATCTAAATATGCTCGATGTTCACTAGAACTTTGTCTCACGTAAGATTTCAGTTGTCTTTGCCCTCGTAAATAGTGAACACATCTAATAGTAGCGCGTTTGCTTGTAGTAGTGTGTTCTGCTCTGTAATACATTCCCATCATCCCACAAGAATTTTCGTTGGGGTGATGCATCTGAGAGAGCAGAAAATACCTTTGCATCTCATCGCAGATGGTGAAGTGATCGTATCGGCATCGTTTCTGAAACAGTGTAAACAATATTAAAACAGTTAGCCTCACAGATCAACTGTCGAACGGAGAGTCAGTCAGAGGTAAAACTTAAGATCAAGGAGTCAAAAACTGAAATTTAAGGCTGAAGTATCATAACATAACTTCCTCGACCACTAAAGCGTGTAATGTAAATTGGTAATAATTTTTTTAAATTTAACCAATGAAGGATTTACATGTAGGTTACATTAGAAATTAAAGGTTTTTTTATGTCAAACACTGATTATAGGTTGATAAGACAGATAAGACGAAGAAAATAGGCATTCATGATTGAAACAATCAGGAGAAATTTATTTGTTGTCCGTGGGAGATCTAACATTTCAAGTTGTTTCCGTATTTCCGACACAAAACACCAACCAAGCTCTAAACATGTTGTTTATGATGTTCATGAACTCTGAATGAAGAATATTTGATACTGTGGTGATCTATAAGGGTCCATTGATGTATATAAACCATTAATTCACATTCCAAGAATGAGAAAAACTATATACTATTCATTGCGTCTAGCTTTCAGGGACTTCTGCCTTTATCTTGCTATTCCTACACTTAGCTATGCTATCTATTGTATGTTTAAACCCAATTTTTGCGCGATACTACTTTCGTCACGTGATGAAAAATCACAGGACGATTATTATGCAATGACCCCCGTTTTTGTCCCCCAATGATTTCCATCGAAAAGAAACAGCCGGCTAGGAAAAGCCGACTCAACAGTTTCCCTTTCATCTTTTCTTCTTTGTGTGGAAGAAAAACAAAATCGTTTCATAGAGTCCATTGATAGTGGCGTTAAAAACTTGTCGCAAATGCTGTTCCTGAAACTTAAAAAAAAGTCAACAAAATATTCTGTCAACGCACAATATGAAAATTAATGGGGTGGGGAAGGGGGTGGGGGA